TAAACTATATAAAGGTCCAAGGATGTATCTCAAACATATGTTTTAGAATAAAGCTTTTAATGTTAAAGCATCATCTAATGAATCCTCTTAATGTTTTTATTTTATCCATTCTCTTTTTTCACTGAGCTCGTAGTCCAGTGGTGCATGGCTTTGTAAGTTTGCTTTAGTTTCCTTAAAGGTGCAGTCTTATCTGACCGTGTTTTATGGTGTATAGAGTAGCACTATGCTCTGCATTAGCAGAATGTGTCAATAGCAGAATCAATCTACTGTTGTAAAATGCTTTGATTATTTTCAAATTGTCTTCCTGGCAGGACTGAATAAATCATTGACCGTCAGACCTGTGTTTGTTTCATGTTAGTAACTATGGTGTGTTTGGATCTGCTTATGTTCACTAGTGAGGACTAATTTTGGTACTTTCATCTTCTGGATCGTATGATAACAAAACCTTGCTTTTAATGCAGTGGAACCTGTTTACTCAGGGTTAGTGGTTGGAGGTAAGAGATTATGGTGTAAATAAGGTTTATAGTTGGTCAAAGGGTTAGAAAAGTCATCAGGATTTAAAAAACTGCAGTAACTAGAATAAATGGATATCACAACGATATCCGAATACGGGTAAAGTTACACATGTGTATCTGAGTGAACAATTTGTTTATTATTAATTACACTAGTTTAATACTGCAAAGGATATCAGGGCCACAAATTATATATATGTATATATTTTCAAAAAAATTGCTTAAAGCGGAAAAAAAAAACGTTTAGTCCCATTGCTGGTAAGTTACATAAACATTCTTACATCTTTGAGTAAATTAATTTGGTGTTAGGATTTCTTAAAAATTAAGAAAAGTTGTTTTCCTCTACATGACCTAATTAAACGGTTATGTAATGGTACTCCCTGCAGTGTTTCAGAATGGGGTTGTCTTCTAGAACTTAGAAAAAATCTCTTATTTTTCACCTTTTTCCCTTTAAGTCTGTTATTTATTAGCTCCTTAGCTGCTTACAGGAACAAAAGCATGAAATAAATGGTGTTTTGGGGGGGTGGGGGGGGGTATTTCTGTGTTGTGGTAGTGGGATTAAAGCAAGGACACGTAACACAAATACTCTGTTCAAAGGTTCACTTACGCAAGAATACTTAAGAGTTTTAAACTGTCTAGTTTCAGGGATTACTTTGAATGAGAAACACAAGTATGGAGATTTAAAAAACATTTCTGCTCTCAGTTGCCTGGACTCAGAAGATTTGATCAGAATTCATTACTATTAACTAATTTATTGTATTTCAGGAAAAAAATAAAGGTGAACACTGTGGTTGTTGTTAGGATTTATTTTTATTTACCACTGAGCAAAGGAAACCAAGGTTATATGCCTTATTTATGCACACAAAGTTAGCAAAAGAGTTCTGATTTTGATTGGTAAAACTTGACTATTCTTCATTTGATCAGACTCTAATGTTATTCCAATTCACTTCACTTTGTTTTTTGGTAAATTATCAAACATTAAGCACAGAAAACAGTCAAAGAAACAATAAACAAACAAACCCACAATTTACCAAAAAAAGGAATAGGCAAAGCTTGTTCTAGCATACCCTGTTTTATACTTTCAACCTTTACAACCTACCAGGTTCTTTACAGTACATACGTATATCAATATTCAAATCTACATAATAACATAGGATTTTATAATTTTACATTTTAAAATTCACCAAGAAATGACATAACTTAAAATCAGCATTCAATTCATTCCACAGTTTCACACCAACTGGCTCTTCCTCTTTGCACATTCAAATATACACAAACCTCACAAATTATATTTATTCTCTCTTAACTTTAATTATTTTTGAATACCAGAAGGAAGACTTTTGTTCACTGTTTTATACATTATTTGCAGTATTTTAATATAAAGAATATCTCTGAATTTTAATGTGTTACTTTGAATGAAGCGTTTATCCGTTGGTTCACAGTATCTCACCTTATAATAAGCCTTATAGCTTTTTTTTGCATCTTAACTAACCCATCAATAATTGTTTTATTTGTGTTTCTCCATACTTTTGAACAATAAGACAAGACATGTTACGTAAAATTCACTGTGAATAGTTTTTTTTTGACCCATCTAAAGGTACAAACTTTGAATAATCTTAACAATATGGAAATATAATCATAAATTGTAAGGTATGAAATATCGAAGCTAAATTTGGTATATTTAAGCAGCAGTGCTCTTGCTGCCCATTTAAACACATCCGAATAAACATAAACATTAAATGTTTACTGAAGGCTGAAAACATTTACATGCATTTAGAAAAAAGTACCTGAGACACAATTTGCTTTTAAAAACAGTGTTGTTGCAGCGATGGACTAGCAAACCGCAGGTAGAAATAAACAAAGACCAGAAATTGGAAAAAGTTCCAGGTGGTTGTGGTTTAATAGTGAACAGTTATGTCTTAATGATATTTCACAGATCGCTGAACAATGTGAACACATCTCCTGTAATTACGCTCCTGGGGTGAAACTTCCAAGCCAGGAAGCAGCGATGATGGGGCAACATGCTACCAAAGCTTCACGGGAATTATTGAGCAAACTTCAGGTTGACTGACTCTGTGAAATGTTGCAGCCTATTGAAGTTGGCAATGATTATAAAATTCTAAGAACTAGGTAATTTTTTGTGTTTATGAAAAATCCTTTCTGCACAGTTTCAGCGCAAATAAGCTAATTAGAAGACAAAGGGGTAAAAAAGGAAATCCTAGAGGAGCAAAGTTAGGAAACACATGTTTAAGATTGATATCTGCTCCCTGATGGCTGAGTTAATTCAACCAACCAGCCGCAGAGAAGTCAGCTCCAACCTTTATGTTAAGGCTTTGCAATTTCAGGCTTTAATCTTCTCTCTACATTAGGAGGTAGGCAAAATACAAAGCTCAGTGTTATAAGGACACAAACCGACTTTGCTGCCACAGACCAGGGTGATCAGTTTCAGTTATGTTGTTCTTGATGTCTAGATGACAGTTTACATTCTGCGGATTTTCACACCAGATGCCTTTCCTGCTGCAACTGGGATTTGAACCTGTGTTGTTCGCACAAAACTATAGTAGAAGTTAATAAGAAATAATAATATTAATTCATTTTATTCAAAAGAGCTTTTTAGAACATTTTCAATTACAATTATGGACGGACTGATGGATGGATGGATGGATGGATGGATGGATGGATGGATGGATGGATGGATGGATGGATGGATGGATGGATGGATGGATGGATGGATGGATGGATGGATGGATGGATGGATGGATGGATGGATGGATGGATGGATGGATGGATTGCTAACTCTGCTTTCTGTCACCCTCTGATTTTTGTTAGTTTTTAATATCTGGCAAAGCTGCCCCCATTGTGTGAAACAGCTGATTACATGAAAAAGTTTCCCACCAGTGCACTAATTGCAGGGCATACTACATCCCTGACTGCACCGCACTGCTTGATCAGCAAAAAACATAACCTTGGAGGACACTACGGATTTTAAATTTTAATTTTTAGTATCAGGATTCTAAACATTCTATTAAAAAAATCAGCATTATCCCTGCTCCTTTATGCAGACAGCTAAACATCTACTTTACATAACCACAGGAAGCAATGTTTCTGTAGTTTTAACTCCTGGAGGCAGTAAAAAAGAAAAAGATTAACTTTCAAAGGTCATCACCTTTGAAAGTTGTTCAGTCATTAATTACACATCATGAATGTTGACTATCTTTCCTTATACTCTAACATTGTGTGACATTTGTCATAATAATAAAACCCTATATTTTCCATTTCCACTGTGGGAAGTGTTAGCCCATAAAAAACAACCATTTTATTAATCTGCTTCTGTAAAAACAGCATTCACTGTTGAGAATGTTATTAATTCTCATTATCTATGTGCTTTAATATGCTTGTAAAATCCTTTAAACCAGTAGTTTTCATTTAGTACACAGTTGTAGATGTTACAGTGTTGATTTGTTTAACATACACTGTTTTTGCACTGCTGCCTGACAACTAGAAGGTCCTGGGTTTGAGCCTATGTGTGTTTTCACCAGACGCTTCCACAGACCCCAAATATTCATACATGAAATGTGGTTTAGGTCTACTTTTAGGGTTATGATTTTCACACATTAATTCCTAATGCTATTTTGGCCATTTTCTACAAGTCATGCTAAGATACTCAGCAGACTGTGTTGCAGCTTTAACAGAGGGAGCGATTTACCATCAGGCAATACCAGGCAGTTGCCTAGGGCCCCAAGTTCCTGGGGCCCCATAAAACTCTGTTTACACGTATAGTTGATACAACTGTTCTTTATTTGTGCACATTAATTATGATTTGGATAAAAATCCTTTGGCTAAAATGCAGAACGCTTATAATATTAAGCGTGTCTCAGCTATAACTAGTGACTTTTCAGACGCCTCTAGAGCTTTTTTATTTAAAGTTTTTTGAAGCTCCTAGCGCCAAATCTAGCAACCTTTTTCTGCTACTGGAAACTTTGGCGCCAACATCTAAAAGCAGCGAACTCTGCTCTCCAGAGCAAGTAGATTGATAACCCCGCCTCCTGCTCTCCTCTATCTTGTCTGCTGTCATGATTCATGCAGCTATTATTTCATCCAAATGAAAAATGGAGAACAGATAAGCAGATCATGGCTTGTCTACAGTGAAAAGAAGGACTGGGTTATTTACTTTGGCCTTTTTGGAAACACAGGAAGGAGCAATCAGCTAAGTGAGCTTAGTGCTTGGAAAAAATCTTTCATTCCTTTAGAGACAGCATGAAAAGTCAGCTGAGTACAAAACATAGAGAGGAAAACAAGAAGAAAAGGGACAAGAAGAGAGGGACACAACCTAGAACAGATAATGGATGTCTATTCTATTAACATTTTTCTATCTGTAGAATGGGGCTGTTTTATGTGTTGTCTTCTCAATTCGAGGCCCCCCCTGCCTGTTTTTGGCAATGAGAGTCCACCTGTTTTTCTGTCTAAGTCATTTATTTCTGCTTCCAGGGGGATTCTTGATACCATATCTCATCATGCTGGTCCTGGAGGGCGTGCCTTTGTTCTACCTGGAGCTCGCCATTGGTCAGAAGATGCGTTTAGGCAGCATCGGGGCGTGGACTGCTATAAGCCCATATTTAGGAGGAGTTGGTGAGAGTCTTGGCTACAAACTGACTCTTTGATGATGTTAACTCTAATGCACAGTCGGTAGATTTTTAACATGGAATCTCCTCTCATATCTTTTTCAGGCCTTGCCAGCGTTGTGACATCTTTGTACTTGTGTCTCTATTACAACATTATCAATGCTTGGAGTTTCTGGTACCTCTTTCACTCATTTCAAGTAAGCTTCTTAGATGTTCTAGTTTTTCATGTCTGCTGATGGTAACATCTGTACAGCACATCATGTTGTAAACATTTAAATATCAGTTTTATTTGCCACCTTTTTCTCTAGTTTTAAATGTTATGTATCAACGGTGCACCAATAAGACAGACAAACTGTGGAATAATTGGGAATACATGCAGAGATTAAAGGAGAAGTTTATTTGCTTATGGAAAAAAAATCAGTGATTTATTTTTCCTTTACTAAATTCATGATTTTTGTAGAATTTTCCTCACTTTTTTTCTTCTTTTGTGTTTTTTTTTCACCACCAAATATAAGTTTTTATGTCAACAGTATTTACTTTTCAAATCATTGTACAGTCCTTTTAAACTTTAAATACGGAGATGTTTACCCCTCTAATGTATCCCAGTTGTGTTATCTTCAAAAACAGATTTTCAGAAGTTCACTAAAGGGAAAATGGAAACATGTTTTTCAAATAAGTTCTGAATATTTAGCCCCCATGGCTTATGAGCTGGTTTCTCTGCCACTGGCACCTAAACGCAGCATTAGAGTCACATTTCTCTCGATGGCTTGAACCATTACTAATACCTGCTGATTCAGCAGTTATTAAAACCTTGGTCCATCACTGATCTGGGCTTGCTAACTCTACTTCCTACTTTTCTGCTCTATATAATAAAGAGTGACGTCAACTAATGACGACATTAGCTTTGGACAGGGGAGGATTTAGGAAATTTGGGGCCCTAGGCAAAGACAGGCAGGGGGCCCTATGAATGTAGTCGCCAAAGTCTCCAGTAGCAGAAAAAAGTTGCTAGATTTGGCACTAGGCCCTTTTTTGAAATGAAAGTGCTAGAGGAGCCTGAAACGTCGCTCTTTGCATAATTTTTTTTCAAATTGTTTGCTGCTGTCCTTTTAGCGAAAGGATTTTTTTTATCAAAAACATAAGTAAAGTGCACAACTAAGGAATAGCTGTGTTAACCATACATGTTAACATAGTTTTATGAGGCCCCCAGGAACTTGGGGCCCTTGGCAACTGCCTAGTATTGCCTAATGATAAATCCCCCATGGCTTTGGTATTAGTTTGCTCTTCTGAATGGAAGCACATCTAATTCACATTTTCTTTTTTTCTACTTTTTAAGTTTCCTCATGCATCACCAGCCGTGTTTCCATCTGAAGGTCATGCACAATTTGATTCATCTTTATACTTTTATTATATTTTAAACTTAATTTTTGTTCAAGTTTAAGAAAAAAAAATCATGAATCAAAATGAGTGGTTTCAATTACAGATAAGCACAGTGGTAATTACAATAGTTAGAGATAAAAAAAAAATATTTAATTTTTTCTTTCTCAATTGTTGCATCTTCTTTTTATTACTTTCGCTCATTTTTTGACATTATACATCTAGCTGCATTTTGGCCCTGAAATTTTTACATGCTCATTTATTTTATTTTGGGTGTATTTCTATAGATGGCAGAAGTGGTTCTCCATACATTTAACCTAAGTACAGTTGATGTTTTAATTTCTCAAACTAAGATGTCAACTAACTTAAAAGTTCTTTAATCAAGAAAATAGAACACAAAGTTCCTTAAATAGTGAACACATTAAATTGTTGTCAAAACGGCATACATTTAAATCAGTAAAGATATATTTTGTTTGCTAAAACGCCTTTTCTTTGTTATTTTTATTTTATAACTAGTTTCTTTTTTCATGAGAAAATGTGATAAAATCATAACCAAAGATCCTGATGAAATGTGATACTTTGGCTATTTTGCTCACTTCCTGCTCCTTTGTGTTTCTTCTTCATGCAGTCAGTCTTGCCCTGGGCAGTCTGCCCTGCCAATTCCAACCTGACCGGACCTTTAGAAGAGTGTGAAAAAGCAACACCCACTCAGTATTTCTTCTACAGAGAGACCCTTAACATCTCGCCCTCTATTGAGGAGAATGGAGGCCTTCATATGGGCCAGGCACTCTGCTTCCTGCTTGCGTGGGTGATAACTTATCTATTCATCGTCCGGGGCATAAAGTCGACTGGAAAGGTAAGAAAGCTTCCTCATTTACAGACCCAATAAAATGATAATGTGTTGTATAGTTGCTCATATACTGGATTTTCACTGTGGTGTTGTGATCCTTGGTTTAGGTTTGTAATGCTGTTTGGTTTTGGTAGGTTGTCTACTTCACTGCAACATTTCCATACCTTGTCATGTTGATCTACTTGATCCGAGGGATGACTCTTCATGGAGCTTTGAATGGTGTCAAATACATGTTCACACCTAAGGTGAGCTTTGATTGACTGCAGGAATATCCTCAGAGACCTGTGGACTAAGACCAGTGGAGGTTTGCTGATTATCTATTTGCCTCTGTCTGCTTCTAGATGGAAGAACTTGCCAATCCTACCACTTGGATCAATGCAGCCACTCAGATCTTTTTCTCCCTGGGTTTGGGCTTTGGCTCGCTCATCGCCTTTGCCAGCTACAACCAGTACCACAACAACTTTGAGCGTCAAGCCATCATTGTCTCTTTTATCAACAGTGGAACCTCCATCTTCTCCGCTATTGTCACGTTTTCCATATATGGGTTCAAGGCCACTGTCAACTATGAGACCTGCTTGGAGAGGTACATATCATTTGGTGCTGTGATGGGTTTGAGGAAACATCTTTGACTGCTTGATTGTACCCCAGTTTGGGCCAAACAGGCATATCTGTAATGTGTACATTCAATTCATTTCAGTTTATTTCTATAGCACCAATTCAAAACACGTCATCTGAAGGCACTTTACAATTCACTAGATCATACAGCCAGATTGATTCAAAGTTTTCTATCTAAGGAAAACCAGCTGATTGCATCGACTCAGCAACTCTTCAGCAATCCCTCACACTAAGCATGCTTGTAGCGACAGTAGAGAGAAAAAATCCCTTTTAACAGGAAGAAATCACCAGCAGAACCAGGCTCTGTGTGAGCGGCCATCTGCTGAGGCCGACTGGGGTTGAAGGAGACAGAAGCAGACATAGAAAAAGAAGCATAGAAAGGCAACTGTAAAAGGCGGCCCCGTCCAGGAAACACACAGTCAGCTCCCATGTCAGAGGATGAAGAGAGCACATCCAGTTAGTCACAGTCAGAGAAACTGGACTACACTGGAAAATAGGTCAAGCTCCAACATCTAGAAACAAAGGTGTTGATGGAAGCAGCACAGCTGATATTTCTCTCCAGGATGGAGTCACAGCCAAACAGGAACAGACCAGATGAAGCTACTATGAGAAAAAGCAGAGAGAGAAGAACGTTAGAGATTGAACTAACAGATTCTGCAGAGTGGGAGACTAGAGATAGAATGAAGCAGAATGATGAAATGGGGGTCCCTATGTCCTCCAGCAGTCTAAGCCTATAGCAGCGTAACTATAGAGAAAACTCAGGATAACCTGAGCCACTCTAACTATAAGCTTTATCTAAAAGGAAAGCTTTAAGCCTATCTTTAAAAGTAAACGGGGCATCACATTGTTGGCTGTCGCGTTTTTCCTAGTAGATAATTATAAAGATAAACCTTTAATCTGCAGATCAAACATCTGTATGTTCATTAACTCTTTTTTTTCTCCTATGTTTATCCCACTTTCCCTCATTCTCAGGACTCGCATTCTGCTGCTGAACACTTTCAGTCTACCTGAAGCCAACATCACGATTGACAATATTTTTGAAATGATTGAGAAGCTGAACTCTACATATCCAGTGCAGTTCGCTGAACTAAAACTGGAAGACTGCAGCCTTGAGAAGGAGCTAAGCACTGTACGTAGCTTATTGTTTATTTCCTCTTTTAAATAGGACTGTGTAAATTAAGTCTTTTTTTTTCCCAATATAACCAACAACATTTTAGGATTTTTCAAAAACTTAATGTATGTATATTTAAACACTAGAATAATAATAGAAAAAAAACATTGAATCACTTGTTAATGTAGAGCTTAAAACTTATTAAACTTCACTTGGAACAAAATTACACAGTAAAGTGTAAATAGCTGTGTTTCAATAAGTGTTTCATTATTATTCCCAGTTTTTAATCAGCTATCTTTAGAACTAATGCTGTAATCATTTATGTTTGAGTTGGATCATTTTTAATAATTAGAAGGATGCTTTAAAGGAAAAGTCCGGTCGCCAGGAATAATCAATGGATCATTATTTATACCTAAAACTAATACATTTGTGGTGATTTAATGAATTTAGGGTTAATCAGTAGAAAATTAAAAACAATCATTTTCGTCGCCATTTTTGCCCCTCCGGCAGTGAGGTCAGGGTGCAGTAAGCATGCTTTACAAGCCCGCTTTACAAGCAAAATCAATGGAACTACTAGACACATCTGCAATCAACAACAATTATTGAAGATTTCCAGAGGACTTCACCATTGAAATTCACCAGAGCTATAGTGAAACTGTTTAACAGTTAAACAGTTATTCCACCTTTCTGATTCCTGATCCTCCACGGACGGGTTGGTCATTGGATCGCCAACTTCAAGAGGGAGGATTTACCATCGAACTTCTGGACAGAGAAAAAACCCGTAACATGTAGCCAACATTTGGAAGAAGAATGTTTTCAAGATGACTTGGATAATAGCGCGTTGTGACAAACACCAGATACAGCACTGGGACTTGATCAACAGCCGATACCGCACCGTGACGTCACAAACCTGTAGGTGGCAGTAGTGTTCTTTGACAGACATGGATGCCTCCAGTAAAGCACATTCACATGAAAATTACTCTGAATTAACAACACTTATCATTTATTGAACAGTATGGGATAATTTAATATTTAAATAACTTTCAGAAGTTTGTAATCTGAATATCAGCGGATTTTCCTTTAATCAGACTATCTGACCCTACTTACTGATGTTTGTCAAGTTTCTGCCATAGTTCATATTTGACTCCAGTCCCTCCTCTGGTAGCCACAGCTGAACCAATCTGAGACAAACACCTTCAGCTAAACCTTTAGGTTTGCATGTTGATCAGGAGGGAGGCGCTATGATGAACTAGCATAAGTAACCTGAGTGAAGTGATTATCAACGTTTCCTTTTAAGAAAAGTTAGACTAAAAGCTTCAAAGTTGTCCATGGAAATCAGATGCTGGCTTTGAGTTACTTTATTTTGGGTAATAATGAAGTATAAAAGCTTTAGATAATATTTTTTACAAAGACAAAACTACTTGGGGGTCCTTGATTAAAACACAGATTATTTAGTTCAGAATATGTTTATTTATTTATATGTTTATCTAGTGTGCGACATCTGTTACTTTCTGTTTAAGGAAATTTGAGGCAGGTTGCATAATATTTAAGTGTATAAGTGGCTGTGTTATATAAACATACGGTAACTCAGTCTATACTGTGGATACAGCTTTACTCCAAATGGTAACTAGGAAGATTCAAGTCATTGCCAAGAAATGTACCTCACAATTCAGGCTGCTTTTTACTGCTTTTGGCAGCTCCTGCTCTCAACAATAAATGTCATTAAGAAGATTAAAACACGTCCAATTGTTAGCTGTTACTCTTTAAACAAGATTATCTGGCAAAAAAATAAATAACATTTTTGACCAATGTAAAATTAACTTTGACAAAATGTAGGTTAATTCTTGGTACATATGTTTATATATCAATTTTTATATCCTCAAAAATAGTTAACGACAAAATGTCTTAAAATAGTTATTTTTAGGTACTTCATCAGCAGTACCATGAATATCTCGGCATCAAAGTATTCTTCTGCTGTAACACGGCATGATTGGTTTGTCTATCACAGACTGAAGCAGAGGCCTTTCCAGTTTCTCATCTGTGCTTGATATTCTGTCTGTTTCAGGCCGTAGAGGGGGCAGGTCTAGCCTTCATAGTCTACAGTGAGGCCATAAAGAACATGCCATTGTCCCAGCTGTGGTCCGTGCTGTACTTTTTCATGCTTCTGCTGTTGGGAATGGGCAGCATGCTGGGAAACATCACAGCCATTATCACCCCGCTGCGAGACTTCAAGGTTGTGGCCCGCATTAGCGATGAGGTCTTTAACGGTAAGAAGCAACGTGAGGCCAACCCTTGCACACATCGGTCTTATAAAAATGTGGTTTATAACTTCACACTGCTGTTTACACAGAAAGAAGTTATAAACACACTCATTTCAGCCGCCCTGTTGATATTTATGAATTATCCACATAGCAGAAAATTTTTCGTATCAGATAAACACACATCTTTGTTTAGGGGAAAAAATCCTGTAAATCTTTAAGTAAGGTTTCTACCCTAGATTGTGTTTGGATGTGTATTAAAAACACAACAACAATAAGTTTTTTAAACTGGAACTATGAAGCTACTCAGAAAGTCTTAATTCCACTAACAACTTTAAAAAACAGAACAACTACAGAGAGAAGTACGTTTGTCTGACTGTGTGTGACTAAGGTGGACCAAAGGTCTGTGTCAGGGTGACAAGGATGCTCTACACTGGAGAGAGAGCAGTCTGGCCTGCTGGGTGGAGCAGTGAGAAGGTTGTTAGCACCTGGTTCAATCCCCACAGTCTCCACTCTGGGTTCCTGCGCAAAACCCTTAACCCCACACTGCTCCCCGGGCGCCGCACCATGGCAGCCCACTGCTCCCCAAGGGGACGAGTCAAGTGCAGAGATACATTTCTCCAATGTTAGATCAATAAAGTTCCATTATTAACTTTCAACTAGTTATCAAAATACAAAAACAAGTCTTACTCTATCGCCCACAAACTTGAATATAACTCTGTTTCAGATAACATTTGGTCCGACTTTAAATTACTGTAAAATTTACTCTATAGATAGTGTCAGATTTTCAGTTGATTTTATTCGTATTAGTGTCAAATCAAGAAGACTGGTGAGTAACTGACACCATATAAATTATAAAAGTTACACTGCATGGCTGTTAAATTTTACAATGATTTTTAACTCTAACATTTGAGCAGATTTACATTAAAGGAATAGTACACCCAAAACATGATTAGCCTTCATTTTCTACTCACCCCCATGCTGAACAACACTCTGGAGTACTTTTTTGATATCTCAAATGCATCTGGAGATCTGGGAGGCTTCTTGCTGTCTGCTGACATTAAAATAATGGAGGTCTATGGCGCCCGAGGCAGAAAGGTCCATAAAAGTCAACAAAAAACGTGTCAATATTCCTCCATACTGCTCGTCCAATGTATCCCAAGTGTCCTGAGTGGGTAGCATCCAGAATTTACTCGAAACGAAGTCATTTAGAATGTTTTTAGAGCATAAACAGTAGTGTATAGGATTTCCTAAAAGCGCGTTCACGAGTCTACGGAAACCGCGGCAGACCAAACCAGACGAAAGTGCGCATTCAGCTCGGCAAAGAACTCATGCTCTTCCTCAACACTGAAGTCCTCAGACATTTTTCTTTCGTTGTTTCTTTCTTTGCACAGGTAAACAGCACATTTCTTCTTCTACGCTTGCATTATCGGCAGAGCAGACGCTGAATGCGCACTTTCATCTGGTTTGGTCTGCCGCGGTTTCCGTAGACTCGTGAACGCGCTTTTAGGAAATCCTATACACTACTGTTTATGCTCTAAAAACATTCTAAATGACTTCGTTTCGAGTAAATTCTGGATGCTACCCACTCAGGACACTTGGAATACATTGGACGAGCAGTATGGAGGAATATTGACACGTTTTTGTGGACTTTTATGGACCTTTCTGCCTCGGGCGCCATAGACCTCCATTATTTGAATGTCAGCAGACAGCAAGAAGCCTCCCAGATCTCCAGATGCATTTGAGATATCAAAAAAGTACTCCAGAGTGTTGTTCAGCATGGGGGTGAGTAGAAAATGAAGGCTAATCATGTTTTGGGTGTATTATTCCTTTAAGCATAATTGTAAACATACAATTTAGAGCTAAATATGTTACCTCTGAATTCTTAACTCTTAATTTCCTTCTTTTTTCAGGTGGGGTGTGTTTGCTGTGTCTTCTCCTTGGCCTGGGCTTCACAACAACATCAGGAAACTATTGGTTTACCATGTTCAATGACTATGGAGCCACTTTCTCCCTGTTGTTCGTCGTCCTCATTGAGGTCATAGCGGTCAGCTATATTTATGGAATCAGAAGGTTTGTAAATTATTAGAGAAGAATTTTTGTGTTCTCTATATTCTGCTCCGTTTTTGTTCCATTATCTACAGCCAAATGTACATTATGTCCATTTACCTGACAGCTTTGCAATGTTACTATGTTCAGTTCTGTTTATTTCTATAGCACCAATTCACAGCACGTCATCTCAAGGAACTTTATAGAGACAATTTAACCAGATCATACAGTCAGATTGATTCAAAGTTTTCTATCTAAAGAAAACCAGTTGATTGCATCCGACTCATTGACTCGGATGCAATCCCTCACATCAAACATGCTTATAGCGACAGAGAAGAGGAAAACTCCCTTTTAACAGGAAGAAACCTCCAGCAGAACCAGGCTCAGTGTGAGCGACCATCTGCTGAGGCCGACTGGGGTTCAAGGAGACAGAAGCAGAGATAGAAAAAGAAGCAGAGATACGAGCTCCCATGTCAGATGATGAAAGAGAGCACATCCAGTTAGTCACAATCAGAGAAACAGGACTAGAATCATTCAGGAATCCGACATCTATAAACAAAGGTGTTGATGGCAGCAGCACAGCTGATATTTCTCTCCAGGATGGAGTCACAGCCAAACAGGAACAGAGCAGGCAAACACTGCAGAATGGGAGAATAGAGATAGAATGCGGAAAAGGGGTTGCCATGTCCTCCAGCTGTCAAAGCCTATAGCAGCATATTTGTAGAGAGAGCGCAGGATGACATAAGTATTTTGGGTGAGGAATAATAAAGGTAGCTACAGTGTGACCAAGGAGTAACCTCTATCTGGAGTGAAATTCTACCCCGCCAGTTGGGGCTGTTTCTGTGTGAATGAGGACCCTGGTGCCTCTAAGCATCATACCTGAGCTTAGATTAGAACTAAGAATGTTTATTTATTAGTCAGTCCTGTTCCACAGATCTTCTCAGCACCAGCATCCAGCCCTTTAAGGGTAAAAATTATTTTAGATACTGTAAACTTAAAGACAGTAGAGTTTAACCACTCACCTCTGCCCACATATAGCTCAATCACTCAGAGCCCAACATTATCAGATGTCTGGCACGCAACTCTGTAAACTAGCCATTCCTGCCTTTTCACTCTCTATATATATAATTCAATTCAAAATGCAGTTCAAGAATAATTTATTGAGCCAAAATAATTATATGCCTGAATGAGGAACATCACTTTAAAAGACAGAACTGTGCTCCAACTGTTAAGATAGATGACAGCAACCAGAAAGGTCCTATTGATGCTCCCTCCTGATAAGAAGTGCTTTCACTGAGATAGATGCTTACAGCTGCACCAATGTTTTTTTTGCTTGGATCAGGTCCTCTTACCTGGAGGAGGAGGAGGTCATTTTGAACTACTCTGAAAACATTCTGTCCTTTTTTCCAAGGTTTGAAAAAGATATAGAAGACATGCTTGGTCATCGTCCTAACTGGTACTGGAAGATCATGTGGGCAGGAGTCAGCCCCCTTCTTCTCATCTGCCTATTCGTGTTCTATGTTGTGAACTACATCCAAGGTGGAACGCCTACCTACCAAGCATGGAACAAAGACCTGGTGAGTTCTTTTTATTTGAAAAGTGCAATCTACCAGTGTTTAAGCAATGGAAAAACACATTTGCATGTCTGTGAACTTAAGCGGGTTTAAATTTGACTGATCTGAGCTGTGAATAGAGTTTGGCATTAACTGCCTGCTATTGTGTCTCCAGGGGAAATCTGAGCAGACGGAGTATCCAGTCTTTGGTCAGGCTTTCATCGGACTGCTCCTGGTATCGTCAGTGAGCTGTATTCCTCTCACAGCTTTGTACGTCTTTTGCCAAAGGAAAAAACATGCGCAGCAACATAAGCAACAGCTCACTGTGAATACAGTTGCTGCTTAGAGACTGAGCGGGACAGGGATGAACTTCTTACCACAACCGTTCTGACTGAAAAAATGAGACTGTGGATTGTATAAAGAAAAGATGGCAAGCAATAAGCACCCGTTTATGTTTTGTATTATATTATCTGTGCTAGTTCAATTTGACGTGAGCCAAAGCTTTTCAAGATTTGTCATGAAGGTAAAGGTGTTTTCTGAATAACGTGGGCTTGCTGGAGAAATCCAGATGCAGGCATGAGATCTTTCTTTATTTATCAGATATATTTTTCACTGAATCAACTGTTGCTTTGAGCCAATCAACAACCAGTACTGTGGTCTGAGTCTAACGTTTTCTGTACAGAGCAAGAAGGACTCCTTAAACCCTTTTAACTAGTTTACACATCTAAACTGAGGAACCTAATGTAGGTTTTGTCATTGGTGTAAATAAAGTGTAGTTTGTCTGATTGTCAGACGTTTTTAACAAATATAGCTGTATTCAGTATTTTATATGAATTTGGTTCCCTATTTGTGTGATAATGAAATGAATGTATCTTTGTTCCCAAAACAAGGAGCTATTGAATGTAGGCTTTTAGATTTTATTTTCATATCTAATTTTTTTTTATAAATATATTTTATACTTTTTTTAGGGCTGCACTGTCGCCTCACAGCATGATGTGAACTAGTTCAAATTATAGCTGAGGTATTTTTGTATAAAGCACATTTTCCTACATGAGTGCATTGATCTCCTGGCTCATAGAGTTGGATCTCACATTAATTGGTCTTGTTTGTTTTAATGTGATAGGGTTTTTTATTCAACTGTGTCGTCACGGTGATCAAGTGTTAAACAAGTAGCCTACCTTGTGGTTGTTACCTCCTGAAATACACAGTCGCCTCCAACGACTCTAACGCCAGCGGCTGTTTTAAAAATGGTTGAAACTAAATAACCATCCATTTAATTCTAATCAAACAAAAAAACATAATTTTGCTCTTCGTATGTGTTCTTCATATTAGCTTTATGTGTTTATTATTATTATTTCAGCAGTTGGGCCTTTTATGTTAAACAAATATACAATAGGATTGTATGTTTTCTGGAAAAATTACACAAGAGCGGCTGAATTAAGATCACAGTGAGAAAATATGTTGGAGAAAGAATTAAATGTTTAGACTGAATATTGCAGTAATATGATAAACTGTGTAAAAACTTTCAAAAGCAGATTTATATATTTGTTGTTTAAAGAATGTGTCAGAAATTGTTGTTCTTTATGAATCAGTTTTCTTATAGTAATTGTACATGTGCCATTTTTAGTAAAGAAAATCCATTACATTACATTTCACAGATTTTGTGTCCGATTATCAAAACTAAATTGTTTGTCTTCGACACTCCCAGCTACTGGTATTCAAAATATGAATCAGTTGCTCTTTGATTGCTTGTAAAGAAATGCATTTTGCTTTTTTTTTTTTTATTCAGTCTGCGAAATAAGAAGTCAGTATTCATCACAGACAATCAGCAGCTATTGAGAATGATTTCCTGTTAAATGTTCTAAACATTTTACACTACCTTGTTATTGTTTTTCGTTTTTCTTTTTTCTTTTTTTTTTGAAGGCGGGGGGGGGTTGCTTTTACAAATAAATACAAAACTGATGTTGAAAGGACTGTTTGTGTTTATTTAGCTCTTGAATTTTTTTTTGTGTTTCTTAAATGACAGGTTTATAGCATGTGGTTCCTTTTTGGATTTCAGTTTCCCTTAAGGTTCATAAAACCAGGAAAATGAATGGCTTCTCAACAGGAAGTAGAGGAAAAAGTTCAGGGCACTCAACTAAAAAGAAAGGTGTAAAAGAGTAGAATTTTTTCAAAAAATCCAAATAGTTCTCATGTATGACTGCACATAAACCAAAAAAGAAAAGCTAACATAAGAGATTAAAAGGTGTTTTGATCCTGGGAGGAAAGATCTGTGATAATGGTTCTTAGTCCGTTTAGAACGCAGGATTCATTTACTGAAGGAGCTTTCTAACTCTGCAGCAGGTTCATGCATTACGTTCCTTGTTTTTCCGACCACCCATGTCTGCTCTAAACCTGCCTGCAAAGAGCAGGTAGAGCACACATGATGTCATCTCAAGATATTTTACAGTTCAACCAGATCATCCAGTCAGATTGATTCAAAGTTTTCCATCTAAGGAAAACCAGCTGATTGCATCGACTCTTCAGCAATCCCTCACACTAAGCATGCTTGTAGCGACAGTAGAGAGGAAAAACTCCCTTTTAACATGAAGAAATCTCTAGCAGAACCAGGCTCAAGGTGGATTTATACTCAGAAACCAGGTTGTCTGCTTGTGTGTCGCATTGAATGCAAATTTGCCTCTTGCCCTGCCTCAGACACTCTGCTGCACCTCCCCAAAATTGTAGGTGACAGCAGACAGGGGGCATCTGATCCAATCTTCCTTTCTAATCTAAAATTCTTGAGAAAGTAGTTGCCAAACAAGTTTGCGATCACTTACACCATAATGCACTTTTTGAAGAGTTTCAGTCTGGCTTTAGAGCTCATCATAGCACTGAAACAGCTCTGGTGAAAGTCACTAATGATATTCTCATGGCCTCAGATAATGGACTTGTATCTGTGCTCGTCCTGTTGGATCTTAGTGCTGCATTCGATACAGTTGATCATAATATTCTTTTAGAAAGACTTAAATATTTTGTTGGAATTAAAGGAACAGCACTAGACTGGTTTAAATCTTATCTATCTGATCGAATTCAGTTTGTTCATGCTAATGACAGATCTTCAACATGCTCAAAGGTTACCTGTGGAGTACCACAGCGATCAGTGCTAGGACCAATTCTCTTTATTTTATACATGCTCCCAATCGGTAGAATTATTAGACAGCATGGGATTAATTTCCACTGTTATGCTGATGATACCCAGCTATATCTGTCTATAAATCCAGATGAAGCTAACCCATTACATAGATTACAGGCATGTCTTGAAGACATAAAAACCTGGATGACTCTTAACTTTCTGCTTTTGAATGCAGACAAAACAGAAGTTATAGTCTTTGGACCAGAGTCTCTGAAAAAGAAGCTGATTAATCAGTCACTTCATTTGGATGGGATTAAAATGATTTCAGATAATAAAATACGAGCTCAGTGCATAAAGAAAATGAACAAAATAATTTATTATATGATGCTTTAACATTAAAAGCTTTATTCCAAAACATATGTTTGAGATACATCCTTGGACCATTATATGGTTTAGATTGTTAGGTTGAGGCATTTAGTGAGTATGTTGTTTTTTTGAATCTGTTAGTTCAATCTCTAACATTCTGCTCTCTCTGCCTTTTCTCATAGTAGCTTCATCTGGTCTGTTCCTGTTTGGCTGTGACTCCATCCTGGAGAGAAATATCAGCTGTGCTGCTGCCATCATCTCCTTTATTTATAGATGCTGGAGATCGGCCTGTTTTTCAGTGTGGTCCTGTTTCTCTGACCGTGACTGGCTGGATGTGCTCTCTTCATCCTCTGACATGGGAGCTGGCTCACAGCTCGTCTGCCTGGCTGTGTGTTTCCTGGACGGGCCACCTTTTACAGCTGTTTTTTGTATCTCTGCTTCGTTTTCTATGTCTGCTTCTGTCTCCTTGAACCCCAGTCGGCCTCAGCAGATGGCCGCTCACACTGAGCCTGGTTCTGCTGGTTTCTTTCTATTAAAAGGGAATTTTTCCTCTCCACTGTTGCTACAAGCATGCTTAGTGGGAGGGATTGCATTTGGGCCAATGAGTCGATGCAATCAGCTGGTTTTCCTTAAATAGAAAACTTAGACCCAGTAGCAGCTGGAGAAGGCTAATCACTCCTATAATGATGATACAGAACACCAGCCTTTTTGGCTGCTGGTGAGGTAAAAAGTTTAAAGGATAGACTTTAAGACTGACCAACGTTTCAACCTACATCGCCTCCTTTTTTGGGGCTTTGAGAGGTTTCCCCTACTCCATACCGGGTGCCAATCTCTGAAAATCCACCCTTGGTTCCAGTTTTCAAAGTTTTACCCTGTGTTCCAGTCTCCAGAGGACCACCCTAGACTCCAGAAAAGATTTACATCTTGTTCATATGAAGTTGTACCTGGTTCTGCCTTCTTGGCTTCATCACTGCCAGAACTGGCTTTTAGGAGATAATTTTCAGATCATCATGTGCACAGGCTAAAGTTCCCATCTGCCCTGTCTCCAGTTGTGTTCCCAGTTCCAGAACATTTCCTGCATGCCTTTCCCTTTCTGTCAAATTATTATCCTGTAAAGGCCACAAGTGCCAAATATCACTTGAAAGGAATTGCATTACTCATTGCAATAAATGTTCTTTGCTGTAAACGAACTTTACTCTTAACAAGCAGTATTCCCATAGGCTAAAATAGATTAGTTTACTTTGAAATTGATTAAGTGTTTTTATATCCTCAATTTATTAGGTTATGGGGCAACCACTGCTACCGTTTTTAAGGTTAGTCCAGTTCAAGTCCTTTCAACTCTGTAAAGTGCAACATCATGAAACTCTGCTGATAGCACAAACTGCAAATAGGGCAGTATCTGCATGTCTGGTCCTTTACTCATTATCTTTCTACAGTACTTGTAATCAATTCATAATCCTGTTTAGCTGAACTTATCCACTAATGTGTTCCTAAGGTAATGATTTAAAAAGATCAAAGGTGTAAGAGTAGGGCAAATACGACTGTAAGAAACATTTGATACATTTAGTTTTTATTTAGTTGATTGTGTCTATACTCATATTACTCACAGTCCCTTTAATGTTATTTTTATTTCCAAATATGTTTTTCATAATGCAAAAAAATTTAGAAGAATGGTGAAGCAAACAAAGGAGTTCTTTATTTTCCATATAAGTTTGTTGAGATTTTGATCCTTTCTGCTGTCAATGTAGCAGCAATGGAGTCAGTGACTTAAATAGCATAATGCTCTGCTCTGGAGTCTGAAGAGATGACAGAAGGATGCTTCTAAAATGACATTACAGACAAAACTGAACCCTCTCACCAAACTATTATTCAACAACTGTCAGGAATCCAGTTTGTGTGGTCTGTTTTTGTGTTTCCTTTCCTCCTCCACCAGGTGGTGCCCCGTCCTCATTGGGTCTCCCTGCACACCTGCAGCTCATTGCCTCATTACCTGTGGAGTGCTCTTAAGCTGCTGACTGCCACTACCTTGAGGCCAGAGTGTTTGCCAATACATGGTACTCTAGCCATGCTTAGTTTAGCAGAGTCTAACCTGAGTTTTGTTTGCCAGTTTTGGGTACTCTAGCCAAGCTGAGTTTTGCTGAGTCAAACTGAATTTTTGTCAACCTGAGTCTTAACTTAGTTTTTTTTTGTCTTTGCCTCTCGGCAGGAAGTCATCCTGCCAACTGGATTTGTTCAGACCTTCTCTCTCTGAAAGGATCAACTAAGCTTCTAACTGAGCTGGGGTTCCAAATAGGAAGTTTGGATCCACTTTCCCCAAGAGGTCGTTTGAGCTTCACACCGAGCAAAGGTTTTATCTGCACCACAGCCAGTTCAAGTACAGCAGGAAATCTGAGTGGCAGTGAGCTTCTCCATTTACTCCAAACAGGAAGTTTGGATCAACTCTCCCCAAGAGGTTGTTTGAGCTTCACACCGAGCAAAGGTTTCATCTGCACCACAGCCCGTTCAAGTACTGCAGGAAATCTGAGTGGCAGTGAGCTTCCCCATTCACCAAGGAACAACCGCAGTCTGAGTAACCCAGTCCACCCAACACCAAACAAGACAATCTCTGGAACATTCCACACACACTGGATTCCATAAAGGACACCTTTTCCTGGAGAAGTGAATCTCCAACCTATTCCTCCAATTCAAACCAAAGATTCAAATTACCAATGAGCCTGAACTAACCGCAGTGTCTTCCCCTCACCTTTCAGTTCTGGTTGAGCAGTGTTCTGAGCAGCACTGGAACCCTCTCAATATTCTTAATAAACCTGTTAAACTTTTCCCTGGTCTCTCTGTTTGGCTTTCTGCATTTTTGGGTCAGACCTTTAGATAAAATCATGACAACACTATTTTTCTTCTCTGCAGTAACTTCCTGCCTTTTGCAACAATCTTCTTGGATTTCTCTTGGGTAGCGTGAATAACTACAACATTTTTAGATGTAAAGAATATATTGTTTAAAAGCTTTATTTTGACAAAAGAAAATTCAGGTATCAAACATACCTGTTCAGGCAAACTGGTAAAAATCTAAACATCCTGCAATAGCCTGTTCTAATCATAACATTACAGTGGAAAAATTGTTGTTTGAATGCTAGTTCATCAATGTATTCCATTTAGGTGTAATCACCTGGCAGCAGGTGAAGAGGAAGAATAAAAATGTTGCTCTAACAGGTAGGACCTGTTCATCATCTCATTGGGTTCCTCCTCATTTTAATCCTGTCTTCTAATAAACCATAATTAAAGGGTTGTCTAACTGTGCAGTCATTGTTTATAATGCTGTAATCAGATATCAGTGTGCTCAGTGATATTAACAACTTATAAATACCTGTTAAATCTGTTTTTAAGATCTAATTTCCCTTTAGAATTCAGAACAAACCTTTGAATTAAAATATGATTGGAATAACTGTGATATGTGATATAATAAAAACTAAATATAGCAAGGCTGGAT